GATTGACCTGGAAAGCGACAGGGAATTCTGAATATCTCACCAAACCATAGGCTTGGGTGCTGTGATGTCATAGAAGCTTGGCGTTGTGAAGGTCCTTGAATTCGAACTCAAAATAATTTGGGACTATTTTATCTGTAGGACAGCTTTTGCACGTTCAAGCATGGGAGAAAAAAGGGCCTTCTCAGGTGTGGTCTGTGGAACTCCCTGCCAGTTGACTGAAAGTTTTGCCTGCTCTCTGCCTGCATAGACAGATGGTGTTGGATAAACGCCAGGTCACAAAATAATGTGTATATTAGTTCCAGTGTGATTGCTTGTTCGTTGTGTGTTGTCCCTTGCGCCTCTTTTAAAAGAATATTGTTCCAATAGCTCTCAAAAGACACCACCAGATGGTGTTGGACTACAACTCCCATGAGCCCTTAGAATGGAGAGCGATGGGAGTTGTAGCCTGACCACATCTACACTTGACGGCTTGAGGGACCCTATTTGAAGATTGTGTGGGCCTCATCCCAATGTGTTTATTTGTTTTTAAACGTGTTTCGGGAGAACAGAACGACGCCCCGGGCGGTTGGAGCGAGGCGCTGGGAAAGAAATGGAAATATTTTGGTTTTCCTGTTCTTGCACGCTCTTTAAGATGTGGCAGGGGAAAATAAACGGAGCCCGAGCTGTCAGCCAGGGCGAACTGGAAAAAGAGGCCCGTTTCCCTGCCGAAACCTTAGGGGCCAGCAGGATCCGGTTTTCTGGCCGATCTTGGCTTTCGGATTTGCCTCTGGAAGGGCAAAGCTAGGCAACGCAGGTGGAGCCAGGGTGTGAGTGGGCCTGGCTTGGGTCCCTGTGTTCAGGCTGCCCTCAACTGGGAAGCGCTCTGTACATGGCCAGGAGCCCTCTCACGCAAGCACAAACCAGTTACCAGCCCCTTGGAACTTTTATGCGGAGAGAGAGAACCGTCGCAACCATCTTCGTGCGTCCAGGCTCCCCAGTTGAATACCTGGGATTTCCTACCAGCTTTGTAGAAGGGAACAAGCTTGTGTATAGTACCCCGACTGCTCCTTCCCAGCTGGCCGGCTAGCCAACCCACCGAGCCGGCTGGTCCCTCTGAGCCACAGGACTGAGTCAGCGGCGTTGCCAGCTCTCCAAGAAAAGGAGGACAGGGGGAGCAGTATAAAGATGATGCTCTGTCTCCTTCTTTGCCCCCCCCCCGGACGTCTTTTTTGCTTCCCGGTCCCCCTTCTTCTGCTCCGTCCTTCCCTCTGCTTTTTTGGCCCGTTCGGGAAAAACTGGAAGCGGGGAGAAGGCACCACGCCTCAGCTGGCGTTGGCTGGGCTCGGCCTGCTGGAGTACCTCCTCCCCACTGGGGACTGGCCGCTTGCCAAGGCTTACTCGCCGAGTTATGTAACGGGGGAGTTCAGCCGAGGACAGGCTGGCTTTCTCGCTCGGGCTGCGTCCTCCCCCTAACGCCCAGCCGACTTCCTTATTTAAACCTCTTCCAGGGAGAGGAGGAGAGGAGAGCAGAAGAGGTGGGATTTGAAGCTCAGAGGCCCTGCTCCCGGCTGGTTCTCATTCCCCCCCCCCAGCTTCTGAACGATTTTGCAAATGTATTTAAAATAAAATTAAAAAATTCCTTCCCCGTGGGGAAGGGAACGAGCAAAGAGGGCCTCTCCCGTTCTGCTTAATTGCTAAACAGATGCATTATTCCATGCCGAACTTGAGTCAATGATATATTTTTTTTCTGGACTACAATATCCAGAATCCCCCAGAGTCGTGTGTTTTTTTTTTCATAGCTTTGGCCCAGTAGAAAAGGAAGTCCAGATTTCAGAATCACACATGACTTGGTTGCAATTTTCTTCTGCAAGGGCCAAAATAACTTGTCATGTCTCTGTTTTGGTGTGCACAAGAGGAAATGCAATAACACTTTGGACTGTGGGACTCCCTGCCACAAGATGTAAAGACAGCTACTAGCTTTGAAAGTGGGGGGGGTCAGACAGATTCATGGAGGAAGCAATCGATCAAAGGTTGAAAATCCTTGATAGTTCAGTAGAACCTCCATGGCCCATGGCAAGCTATCCCAGAATTGGTTGAGGGGTTGTGGCTCATTATTTTCCTCTTCTTTTGGTGAGGTGATATCCATCCTTTTAAAAAAAGTAAATGGCATATTTCTTTTAAGTCCCCTGATTAATTTTAATTTTGCCCCTGTTAAAGCCTTGAGGGGGGGAAAGCACATTAATATTCCCCATTATGGGGCGGGGTGGAGGTGAAAAGGAACAAAGCACAAGGATTACATTATTTGGGAGGACAATATTGCCCCTCTTTCACCTCCCTCTGAAATGATTTTATTGCATTATTTTAAATGGATTTCTTGTAAGTTCAGATATTTTATTCCTGGCTTCGATGTTGACCCTAGTTTCTAGACTGTAATCGCCTTGGGGCTGAGACTTAGTGCCTGGCAGTTTTTCAAGTGCTGTGCATGTGGGTTATGCTATAGAAAAATAATAATGAGGGGACATTGTTTACCTATAAAGGAGTTATCTTACTGTAGATTAAATTGGTCAGAGATGGACTTAAAATCTGAGATTTTGTTTCCTGTCCTAAAACTCAATGAATTATCAGCACACTGGGTTCGTATTCTTTGTTTTCCTCTATTTCTTTCTTTCTTACTTACTTTCAATACAAAGGGATTTCTTTTGAAATGCAGAACGCAGGCTTCTTGAGGGTGGAGTCCCTGTCTTTTGCTCAGCTTGCTCCCGAAATAACCATTATGACAGATGACCACGTGGAGGCAAAATTAGCTTCCCAGCATACAGTCACCCTCAAAACTGCGGGTGGCAGAGAAAAAAAGCCAGAGGGGTGGGGAATTCTTTGCTATGTGAATAACTTTTTAATAAAGACGCATAAATCAGAATTTAAATAGGAGCACAGCAAGATAAACAGTGCATTCGCGCCATCTGCCCCCATGTCACTGAAATCTATCAGGAATTCCTTTTACCCTCTTAATTCTGCACTTATTTTGGGGGGAGATAAAGTGCTGTCCCAGTTTGATCTGTGTATTCCAGTTCGACATATAAATGACTGTCACTCCGTACATGGCTAGAGGCTTGGATTCAGGCAGGAAAATTTCTTGGACTTCAAGCCACTCCTCATTTTCACTAATTTTGATATTGCGCCTTGCAAATAAAAAATAAAAACAGCATATATATTTAAAAGAGAGATGATATAGACAAAGTTTGTTTCTCCTATACTTTGGATGATTTGTTTGCAAAAGTTCCCCGTGCCTTAAGGACTAGCACCTTTGCTCTTTAATTTTTCTTTTCCATTAAAAAGAATAAGTCAAGTGAGCTGCAGTTCTCGATCAGCCGTATCCTGTGCCATGCGATCGTGGACGTGTGGAGAGATACTAGCCCTGATTATTAATAGCCTAGGAGATAACAAGGGGAAAACAAGGGGCAGAAATAGTAAAGCAGCTTAGGCCCGACTTAGCGACCCATGGCGGATCTTTCGATCAGCTCTCCAAGGCGAGACGTGCGCTGGGAGGTTTTAACACACACCCCTTCCTTGCTTGGCCATATTACCAAGCGCCACACCCTCCCTCTGAAGGCATCTTCAGTCGCCCGTCGTGGTGGCCATTCTCATGGCGACCCTTGCGGGTTTTTTTCGAGGGACATGAGACGTTCCCAGAGAGGTGCTCCAACGCCAACCCCTAGGTGGGTTTTCACGGCTGGTGATGGGCTTTGAGACTGAGTCTCCCGAGTCTTAGCCCAGCGCTCTCTCCACTAGGCCACGCTGCCTAGCCTGCTTTCAAGAACCAGAAGGAAAGCCGCTGGGGGCCGTGAAGTGGCCGATCCACGCCATCAGGCAGCCGGCTCCGTACGTGGCCAGGGGTGCTACCTCGTTGCTCTCGTCCTCATTCAGGTGAGACGTAACATAATTCTGATTACGGCCAGATTTCGTTGTCCAAATTCCCATCTCTAGCTATCAATTACTACGACGAATTTTCTGCAGACCCCGTACCCCTTTTTGATCTTCTATTCCGAGAGGTATAAGTTGCTCCCTTATTATCTATTTCTAGTGATATTTTCTCTTTAATAACTTATCTGCAGTTATTATGGTCTATTTAGTACCTACCAGAGACTGGGAGATGAGCCGGGAATGATGGTGGGAGAAGGTTAGAAAAGACAGGCTGTTCCTGTTTTTATTAAATAAGGAAATAGAAACTGCTAAACACTATAGCATTTTATAAGCTCATTATCTTGATGTGTAACATGCCTAAAACTACAGTATCAATTTTGGATTTCCAATTTCCAAGCAAATGATGCTCTTTGGTGCTCCCTTGTGATCGAAATGTGACACTGCAAGCCTTGACTTCTCTCCGGCGTTTAATAAAGGTGAAATCAACTTTCCTTTCCCCCACTTCCGCTCCCCCAAATAATTTTGACGTGTCAAGCCCCCGCGTTTTAGCTAGAAAGAGGAGAGAATTTCATGGTAAGAGAATTTTACAAGAAAGAAAAGCATTATTATTTTTGAATAAACTTGTTTAAAAACTTGGTGTGCGGATGTCAATCCATCTCTTGACGCGATACGTAAATCGGAGAGAGTAAACTGAAGGAGTCAAGGCAGAACGAGGACCAAAACAGCTAAACCTGGCTTTTATATTCTGCATCTCTTGGATCATTATTAGCCAAGTCTCTTTCTCCGCTTGTGTGTAATTCCTTCCTGTCAAACTGACTTGTCCCATCCTTTGGCGGAGTTGGACTGTTTGATTCTATTCCGTGACTGCCGTCTGCAAACATCTATTCTGTGATATTAGCGCAACTTGGCCAGTAGGGAGCCAGAGATGTAGCTGAAGAGATCCACAACCGTTTTATATTTACAAATATATATCTAGGGACTTGGTGGTGGTTGATTCCCTCCCCCCCTTCATCCAGTGGGACATTTTGCTTATTTATATTGGCTTATTTACTTTCTTTAAATAAAGGCATTTGTTTAATTCTCCTCTTTTTTTATTGCAGGGTCTGTGGCGATGAAGAAGACACATACGTGTGAGTATGATTTCGTGATACATTGACTGACTTTGAAGCATGGTGGATCACCTGCAAGAACGTTTGCGTGGATCTACACAGCACGCTTATAGCAGTTGGATCTCAGTTTCACTGCCACGGCTTTATCCCACGTAATCCTGGGGGGTCTGTCATTTGCTGGAGGGGCTTCTCTTGAGTGGACTCTTCTAAACTCCAGGAGGGAATATGTCTCCAATGACAGATCCCAAATTTCTATAAGATGGAGCCAAGGAAGTTGGAAGTACTGTTATCCAACTGCTATTAACTGTGCAGTATAGGTGCCATCATAGACTCCCAGAGTTGGGTGGGGGATTAGAGGCCCTGTAGTCTGGCCTCTTGATGGACTTCTTGTGAGTGGCTGTTTGAAGAACTCAACTGAGAAAAACAGAGAGTGTGTACATAACTACCCACCCAGGAGAGCAGTTCCTTGTGCCTCTGCTTCCCAAGAGGTTTCCTCATAATGTTCACTCAAAATCTAACAACCTATAACTTAAGCAGACAGGCTTTACGGAGGCGTGTGGGGTGTTGTTGGGTCAATTTTGTTTGCGTCTGTGAGCAGACAATGCGTTTCGCCTTTTAGGAGAACTGTGTGAAAAGTCCTCTGTTCAGCCTAGTGCAAGCTTTCTTCATTCCGCCTGTTCCTTGGTTGCTGTCTTGTGATTGGTCACTTGGAAGTAAAGATAGGCTTCATTTTCCAGTTTGATGGCTTGGGCATGGCGCTTTGGAGGAATCATGTGCCTGGAGGGAAAACCTCGTAATCTTAACGTGTGGTAGTGCTGTTAAGCATTTCAATTTAAGTGATTCTCTTCATGTGTGATTTGAATTGAGTTTGCTCTTGTGCCGAGATCTACCACCCTGAGCGAGAGATAAAAATGGCAGCTCTGGGTGGTAAGCTCTGTGGGGGTCAACATAATGTGTATTTGACATTCTGTGATAGATTATTACTGGAGCTGGGGGCTCCGTTTCTCTACCTTGGCCAAAGCCAGTCATGAGCACGGATCTACCCCATACATTTATAGTGTCTTGGCATGTCAGATTGTGAGCCGCGGAACCCGTACAACTTCCTTTCATCAGCTCTAAACCTACTTCTTAAATTTTAGCTTCGCTACCTCTGTGGGTGGGCGAAAGGGAGGGGGAGATAGATTATTTCCCCTCTATGGGGTGCCTGGAACACTTTGCGTGTGGTGCGACCCCATCCTGCTGCTTGTGGGACACTGATCAGCATCATGGTTTTCTCAGTGCTTTTCCTCTGCTCGACACCATGCGGTGAGGCCCTGTAGCGGAGAACGTCACGTCCTGCTCCCTCTGTGACGCCTTTCAGTGGTGCAGTGACCCCAATAAAATGGGCACAGAGAGAGAGAGAGAGGAATTTTGCCCATGTACGGTCTTAGCGCCGTCGAGATCACTCTGGAAGGAAACCAGGCCGAAATATATGTTACGGTCTTAGCGCCGTCGAGATCACTCTGAAAGGAAGCCGGAAGACGTCAAGGCCCAAATGTATGCAGCCGGAGCAATGCCAAGGTGGCAAATTTCAAAGTGTGGGCACACATTATGGAACTCACCCCAGCGGCATTCTTAAGAGAGATTTGGGTCAATCAACCAATTTATTTTAACTGTTTCCTACTTCTCCAGGGGTGGATCTTTTGTAAAGCTAATGGGTCTTAATTGCCAATTCGAGAGCAGGCCACTTCGAAATACTTGGCATTACAATAAGGATTCATGTCAATGGGTAGAATGGTTTTTGTTTAAGAAGTGTAGATAAATGATATCTCACAACACTGGAAGACATTTTAAAAAATGTATAATCTAGAAGCAAGGGCCGTTATTACACTTTCTTCAAAATGCTGCTGTAAGAATAAAAAAAATAGAAACCACACACTGGGATGAAATGAACCTAGGTCTTAGATTTAACACATCGTTAGAAACGGAGGTCCCTTAAGAGGTAAAAGACTGCTGTTTGTCCTAGCATGATCTCATCTTACTTCAGATTAGCTTGCTTTTCTTTTGTCATTGGTCATCTGGAGGTAAACACGGACATCATTAGCTAGGCTGCTTGTTTGGACACCAAAGTTCCAGTCTGGATGAAATGTCTCTAGTGATTTTTCCCTTGAGAAGCAAAACATACCCACAAAGCAAGCATGGAAACACTGGCTTGATGGTTAGCAACGATACAAAGAACCCATCCGGTGCTTTGGAATCATAAAGCACTGCTTGCCTAGGGGGAAAATATTGCAGTACCAGAAAGCATTTATCTTAACTTGTGATTTGACCCCAAGTTCCTCTGTGCAATTGTTTAAAATCCTTCCTTTCTAACCATAGTCAAAAGTCAAAATAAATTGACGTCAATAAATGCCTACCACACCCAAACTTTGAGACCACAGAGGACAGATTATTCTACACTTTGGGGCCACCACGAAGAAAGCCATCCCCCTCTATGTAGACCATGGGGGGGGGGAATGGTGCCTTCCCCTGGAAATCATAGTGGCTTCGAAGGTTCATATATGGGGTAATGTTCTTCTAACTTAATAATAACTTCATCCTAGAGATGAAAGGAATACTCGCTAAATTCCTTGTTCTTGCTGATTTAGGCTCTCTTGATTTGACGTCTCAGCTCAATGAAGATTTTCAAGTCATGCCAGATTCCTTGCGGAGAGCGAGAGATAGTGTTTTCTCCCTCCCTGCGAGGCTTCTCTCTAATTTGCACAAAATGCTTCTTTTCCATTGAGAGGCAAAAAAAGGAACACAGAGGCAGCAAGGAAGCCCAGGCTGGTGGCTAGGAAAAGAGACAAGCAACCCATCTCATGCTTTGGATTTGTGAAGAAAATTGTAGTCGTCCCAATTTGGGCATTTCGCACAAGTGTATAAATTCCAAAGGTCTGTGAGGGGTTTGGGCAACAACGGGGAAATTTTGTGCTTCCAAATTTGAGGCAAAACAAGTTTGCGGAATAATTTTGGGCAGAACATCATCCTCCTTAAAGCAAGAACTCAACATGTACCTCACACTGCAGTTAGATTTCCTTGCATGTGAGAATACAACTGAGGATTTCAGACCCTAACTCGTACCCGAATCCTAAATTTGATGAAAGACTGGCCAATAGACCTTAAGGATTTGTGTCTTTCAAACGTGTGTGATAGGGCTAGCTCCCATTTTCCCTCCTGTTGAAATATAAAATGTGTGGATTTAAGCCTTAAACTGCCAATATTGCCCGCGGGCTGAGAGCTGCTTTCTCAAAGAAGACCCCTCTCACCCCTTCCGTGTTACAGAAGTGGAAATTTTCTGTCTGTCTTTCTTTCTTGTGGCTCTTTTGTACTTTTCTGTCTTTTGTGGGTTTGGAACTTTCCACCTTGATGTTCTTGGTTTCCCTCTCCTTCTCTCCCCACTCCTCACCTCTCTTCTTTTCCACACACCCCCTGCCTGGGACAACAGGTTTTTCTGATAGGCCAACGGGACTGCCACTCTTTTCGGCGTCCCCTGCCACCTGTACACCCGCCGGCGGATGCTGGCTTTTTAAAAAGGAAACCGGACCCGGCTGCCGGTGTCTCGTCAACTCCCCCAGGCACCGTTTGGCCATGGTCGTTGCAGCTGGCAACCGGGGCTGAACAGGTGCGCTTAAGTCTAACCACCGGGACTTCCTCTCCACCAGCGACCGTCATCATGCGAGGTATGTGATGGGGAAGATGCAGAGGGAGATGAAGGCCATTGCTAGGTAGCACCTGTGGAGTCAGGGCCAGCTTTAGAGGCGAGCACAGGGGAGTATTTGAAGGCAAATGCAATTCTCATTTGTTACAGTTGAGAAGCAGGAGATCAATTCAGGTTAAAGGCTTCACACATGCACAGCCTTCCCTACTGTGTATCCAGAAAAAACACAAGGACTTACAGATGATACCATGTCTAGAACTTATCGGTTTGAGTGCAGGGTCATACAACCTTTTTGCTAATGAGGAGCACATGCGGTATTGACTCAGATTTTGGTTATACACGCTAAGGCAAACACCAGTGTTTTTATTTCATCAATAGGATGGTTTGGGAGCGCTTCTCCTCACCCCCCTCAATCAAAGGCATCTCCACAAGTTTCCAAAATAAGACAACCTAAAATATAAGAAGCTGGGAGAAGAACAGAGAGGGATCAAGGTAGCAGCAAGAGAGAGGGACGAAAAGGTTGAAGGGGAAAATACGTATAATTTTAGGTTCTTTGCTTGACTCTGTAGTAATTACCTTAAAAACAGAACTCAGCTGTGAACAGTTTAATAATACATAGTGCACACTAGGCAGTCGAAATGCTTTGGGACCCTTATTATATCTGCTCAGCTTCACAATGACTTTGCGATGTGGTTGTTTACGTGAATTCTCTCATCTCCCTGTTGCAAATAGAAGGATGCAGAGTTGAGATATGGCAGCTGGATTAAGATGTCCCTAAGAAATTACCCACAACCCAATTTGGCTCATCCTAATCTTAACCGAGCTTGTTTGGGCAATGTTTGGGCAAATCCCGCCTTGTGTTAATTAGCAGGGAAATGAGAGTCATTTCTTCTTGAAATTGGACATCTCTAAACACCCATCCTTACTCCAGAGTCCTGGCTTTGGAAAGTTATCTGGCACCCAGACGTTGGGGTTCCATATTTTGACTTTGATGGTTAGGAATTAGGACTCTGATAACGCTGCATGTTTTAAGGCCTCATCCAGAGTCCTGCATCGAGTTCTGGATACCGCAATTTAAGAAGGATGCCAGCAAACCAGGGCAAGTTCAGAGGAGGGCAACCAGGATGATCAAGGGACTGGAAACCAAGCCCTAGGAGGAAAGACGGAAAAAAACTTAACATGTTTAACATTGAGAAGACTGAGGGGAGATAGCACTTGTCAAATACTTGAAAGATAGTCATGCAGAGGAGGGGTGGGATCTGTTCTCGATCATCCCGGAATACAAGAAGCATAATAATGGGCTCAAGCTACAGATTTAGGCTGTATATCAGGAAAAACATCT